TCTGACCTCAAATATTTCCTAGTTGTGTTACCCTATTTGTCTCAGTTTCTTCATCTCTAAAATGAGCTGGAAAAGGAAATCATAAACCATTCCAGCTTCTTTGCCAAGAAAACCCCAAAGAGGTCACAAAGAATTGGGTAACAATTGAACGAATGAACAATGAACATCTAGATGGGTGGGAGGAGTTTGGATCTTTCAAGAGATGTATAAGAAGTTTATGAGACATAATTTCCGGGTAAATAATCATTTTATTAATCATGCAAGCAGATAATTAATAAAAAGACAATGGAACATTCAAATGAAACATTCCTCATGGAACACATTCAACATTTATATGCCTTTGGAAGAGTAGGTGTTCCTGAGGGTGGCAATCAACTTTGATTGGTTAACAATTAATGAGAATGAATATTATAATGAGAAAGGCCTTATTCTAATGAGGAATTGGAGGACATGACTATGCTCACTTAGTCTAGGACAAAGAGATTTATCTGTTATCTGAACTACCCTAGACTAGGGCTCTAAGACTAGAGAAAACAGGGCCCATCTCTATTCAAACTCAGCTGAGTGGAACAAAATGGGCTGGAATTCATCTTATATTAAATTCTTTGTAAAGTTTTCTGGTTGGCTGGAGTAATGATTCCAAGATTTCATCTCACCATGCCCTCTGCCCTTTAGAGAACTACACTTTGACTTAATCTCCCAAAGAGGAAAGGAAAAAAATCCAAGATCTCCTCAATAATTAGTTATTTAATAATAATTTCTTTCAGTCATGTTAGGGAAAATAGGGATATATACTACTGCAAATTCACATATACATTCTCTAATAAACATCACTAATTCCTTGAACTCTCCCTCAAGCCCCTCCAAATACCTATAAAAATAGCTCTAAACAAATTCTAGATTAGAAGAACCCACATAAAGACAGAGTGGAACAAATTTCCAGCCCAAGACATCCTCAATGGTTGATTGGAAAAATCTATTGCATCAGACTGAGAGAGGAACGCAGTTCAGCATGGGCCACACAAACAAAGATGGGCCTCAGTGAACCTGGAGCAGGCCTCCAGGGACTGAATCAAGGGGAGCTGTGGTGGTTTCCAGACTTCTAAACCCACAAACATCAAAGACAGATGGTCAGTAGGAAAATTCTGTGACCGGAAGGAGAAAACAGCTCAGTCTGGGCATAGTCTTGGTGTAACCCTCAGGTGGCAGCTGTTTCCAAAGCTCTCAGCTCACAGAAGGAGGGGGGACAGAGCAGCTGATCAGAGGGGGATTGTAGAGATCTCTTTGCTGGTGCTGAGGCAGGATTCTTTTGTTTTGCCTGTACTTGGATATGGGTTGCAGATCTAGGTGGCAGCCCTGGGGCAAGGAGGAGTGTTGGCATGATGGAGTTTGTGGTAGTGGTGGAGAAGGAATTGCCCTCATAGTTACAAGGTAGAAAAGAGTGATTGTGGTCACTCAAAGACCAGAGTACCAGGAAAGGAGTAAAGACCTCTGCTTTGATCATACCACCTTAGAAGGTTTGAAAATTTACAGGTCCCGAGAAGTATCTGTGAAAACAGTTGCAAACCCCCCAAAACTTGGGACAGTACATTCTCCACACTGGAAACAGACCCCTTACCTTAATAAAGAGCTTAAAAGTCTAATAATTGGCTGGGATCATAAGCAAACAGCATCAAAAAAAGTCAAATATAGAATCTTACTTTGGTGACAAAGAAGATGAAAACATACAAGCAGAAGAATACATCAAAGCCAAAGCTCCCACATCTAAAGGCTCCAAGAAAAATATGAACTGGTCTCAGGCCATGGAAGAGCTCAGAAAGGATTTGGAGAAACAAGTAAGAGAAGTAAAGGGAAAAAGTGGGAAAAGAAAAGAGAATGATGCAAGAAAATCATGAAAAATGAGTCAACAGCTTGCTAAAGGAGACCCAAAAAAAGAATACTGAAGAAAATAAAACCTTAAAAAAGAGACTAACCCAAATTGCAAAAGAGGCCCAAAAAGCCAATGAGGAGAAGAATGCCTTAAAAAGCAGAATTGGGCTTTTTTGGTAATATATAAAATGCCAATGATTTATGTGGGTTTATTTTATTGCCTGCAAACTTTGATAAAGTTGTTTATTATTTCATGTGGCTTTTTACTGGATTCTCTGGGATTCTTTAAGTATATCATCATGTCATCTGCAAAGAGTGATAGCTTTGCTTCTTCTTTACCTATTCTAATTTGTTCAACTTCTTTTCATTCTCTTATTGCTAGAGCTAACATTTCCAGTAAAATATTGAACAACAGTGGTGATAATGGACATCCTTGTTTCACCTTTGATCTTATTGGAAATGCTTCTAGCTTGTCCCCATTACCTATGATGTTTGCTGAAGGTTTTAAGTAGATACTATTTATTATTTTAAGGAAGACTCCATTTATACCTATGCTCTCTAGTGTTTTTAATAGGAATGGGTGTTGTATTTTAGGAACAAGCTCAAAAACTTGGGGACCATTTGGTTAGCAATGACTCCACAAAATACCCCCAGGAACAGCTGCAGTTCCCACTACTAACCCAAGATGCCATTATCAGAAGAGTGAGAATAGGGGAAAGAGAGACTATATGGTAATTTGACTGTTAGAAGGCCTAAGAACTGCATTTTAAAAGCAAGTAAATTTTCAAAAAATTCAGGAAATTATTCAAGAAGTAAAAGAAAACCCTACCCTTTTCCAAGACAGGCTTGTAGAAGCTATTAAAAAGTATACAAATTTAGATCCCAACTCTGTAGAAGGGGCAACAAACCTGAACGTGTGTTTCATTAATCAGTCTATCCCAGAGGAAACTGCAGAAATTCGCAATGAGACCCCAAACACCTCAGGCTCAATTATTGGAGATGGTCTGTGGAGTTTTTAACATCAGAGACTTAGTAGCAGCAGAGAAAAGAAAAAGAAGGGAAAGGGCTAGAGATAGAGAACATGCTCAATTCTTGGCTGCTGTCACTACCAGGAAAAGATGCAAGGGCGTTCCTATCAGCTCCTTCAGTGGGAAAACCAGTTTTCCCTGCCACCAGGAGTGTCACTGGTCCAAGGAATGCCCCTCCAGGGCACCCCCTCAGAAGAAGCCCCCACAACCAATGCTTCTGGGACTGTGCCCAAGATGTGACCAGAAGGGACTTTGGAGAAAAGATTGTCCCCAAGGTTGGAAAAGTGGTGGAGTTGCCCCCCAGCACTCCATCCTGCAGTCTTCTCAAGACTGAGAATGAGAGGGTAGCCTGGGGCTTGGTAGTGCTCCCACTTTCTTCATCTCTAGCTAAGCCCTGGGCAAAAGTCGAAGCTGAAGTTAAGGTTACCTACTTTATCATGGCTACGTTCTCTGTTTTAACCAATTATTCTGGCCCTGCTTGCCCCTTGGCCTGTCAGGCCATGGGCATTGAAGGGAAAACTAAGGGATGTCACTAGACATACCCTCACCCCTGCCTATTTGAGGATCTGTTGTTTGAACATTCCTTCTTTATGCACTCCCCTTGCCCTACCCCTTTGTTGGGAAGGGACCTGATGGTGAATTTGGGGAGCCAATCTTCTCTAGTTAAGCCTCCTATCTCCCTTTTCCCTCTGTGCACCAGAACTCCCCATGTTCCCCCAGAAGTATGGGAGAAAGTTGAGCTAATTGTTTGGCATCAGGGAATTTTGTCAAGCAAATTTTCATAATTTAGTTGCTGCTAAAATAATTTGGCTATTGCTGGGTATTGTTTTAATGTGTCAACTTGCCAAAAAGCTTTTTTGGGTTTTGTCTTGCTGAGAATTTGCAAATATATGGAAATAATCTCTAATGATTGGCTTTTTACACCAGGACAAATTTAAATTTGAGATGTAAATCCTGGAAAAGTTTTCCTAAGCTGTGATTAGTGAAACTTGCTGTTCGAGGTAAAAAAAGTTCATGATTTTATTTTGAGTTGTCTAATGGGTCATAATAACCCATCAATAAATCAATAATCCACCGTCTGAGACATGTCTCAAGCTACTCAGAGAATGTGATACTGGAGGGAAGTCAGCATTGGGAAAAGCTGAGAGGACAATTTTAGGGTCAGCCTAAGATGGGATCCTCCTGGCTCACTTTCCTCATTATGTTCCTTTGAAAAGGAATGTTACCCAGCTGGCTATTACTGAGCCTAGGTATGAGGTAGATTTGATAGTGCATGGTTGGAAAACTGAATCATCTCAATCTGAATAGAGCTAAGGATATTTTATCCTGTCATATCTGAGCCCTGCAGTCTTTTCTGTCAGATTTGTGTCTTCCAGAGTACAGGCCATTGACCTACAGTTGGTGAATATTACTTCCCTGATGCAGCCTGTCCTCTGTTCCAGTCAACCTCCTCTTTGAGACACCCTCAAGGCAGGGACAACTCTAAGCCCCAATCGAGCAGGAAGCAGTTTCAGAAACCAAGACCTTTGCCCCTTACCCCAAAAGAATTTGGGGCCCATTTGTTTGAGGGGAGAATGATGAGAATAGGATCTAGACCCCGAAAAAGGAATAACTCTGGACAAGGTCAGATCTCTGGCATTTGCCACCCAATCTCCCAATTCTGTTACCCTTAACCTAGCCCCCATTGTGGAACCTCCCTATAGCCCCAGGTCACTTCCCACACTTAGTCCTATTGAGGCTCCATTCTCCTTAGGCCATGTGGTTCATATGCCTGGCATTACTACTTGGCCACTCCTAGATCCCTCCCTTATTCTTTCTGTACCTAAGATACATCTTGTCTCCACTAAAATGCTTAGATTCTTAAAAATCTAGCCACTGCTCAAATTCTTATAATCTAGCCAATAGCTCACTAATGTTCAGACGCCTTAAGAGTCTGCCCAATATGACACATGTTATTATAAATCTTGTCTTTAGCTGAAAAAAAATAAATTATCAAGGAAAACTCCCCTGATATTCTATAACCACAGGGTAAAGTAAAAATGGAAAGAATCCACCCCCTGAAAGAGATCCCCAAAGGAAAACCCCTAGGGATATTATACTCACATTCTAGAATTCCCAGGTCAAAAAGAAAATATTGCAAGCAGTCAGAATGAAACAATTCAAGTACTGTGGAAACACAATCAGGATAACACAAGATTTAGCAGCTTTTACCTTAAGGAACTTATATACTTAATTTAATATAACATTTTGGAGGTCAAAGGAGCTAGGATTAAAACCAAGAATCACCTACCCAGGAAAACTGAATATAATCCTTTAGGGGGAAAAATGCGTATGCAGTGAAATAGAGGACTTTCAAACATTCTTGATGATAAGACCAGAGCTGAATAGAAAATTTGTCTTTCAAATACAATACTCCAGAGAGGCATGAAAAGGTAAACAGGAAAGAGAAACCTTATGCGACTTATTAAAGTTGAACATTCTTAGAGGGAAAGATGATATTTGTAACTCATGGGACCTTTGTCAGCATTAGGGTATTTGGGGGGGGAATATATGTATGTATATATGTGTGTGTGTATATATATATATATGTATGTACATATGTATGTACGTATGTATGTATGTATGTATTAGACAAATAGATACATAGATACATAGATAGATAGAGAACACAGGGTGAGTTCAAGATGAATGGGTGATATCTAAAAAATGAAATTAAGGAGTGAGAGAAGATTATATTGGGAGAAGGAGAAAGTGAAAAGTAGAATGGGATAAATTATCTCACATAAAACAGACAAGAAAAAACTTAAAGTGGAGGGGAACTAGGAGAAGGTGAGAGGGAATGAATGAGTAAATCTTATTCTCATTGGATTTGTCTTAAGGAGAGAATAACATACATATTCAATTGGTATCTTACCCTACAGGAAAATAGGTGGAAAGGGGATAAGGTGAGGCAAATGATAGATGGGAGGACAGATTGGGGGAAGTGGTAATCAGAAGCAAATACTTTTGAGGAGGGACAGGGTCAAAAGAGAGAATAGAATAAAGGGGAGGCAGGATAGGATGAAGTGAAATGTAGTTAGTTATTCACAACTTGACTACTATGGAAGTGTTTTGCATGACTACACATGTATAACCTGTATCAAGTTGCTTGCCATCTCAATGAGAATAGGTGGGGAGGGAGGAAGGTAGAGAATGAACCCAAAGCTTTAAAAACAAATGTTAAAAATTGTTTTTACATGCAACTGGGAAATGAGATATACAGGTAATGGAGTATAGAAATCCATCCTGTGCTACAGGAAAATAGAAGGGAAAGGGAATAAAAGAAGGGGGGGCCACTGTGATAAAAGGGAGGGCAGATTAGAGGAAGGGGTATTCAGAATGCACTCCATCTTGGGTGGGAGAGGGGCAAAATGGGGAGAAAATTTAGAACTCAAAATCTCATGGAAATGAATGTTGAAAACCAAAATAAATAAATAATAAAGAGGCAAAAAAAATGATTATTGGACTACCTGAAATCCACGATTAAAGAAAAATATACAGGAATATAATTTTGATATTATGAGAGGTCTAATTGAAAAGAAGCTTCAGATTCCCTTTAATTACAGTGTCATGATCCTGTGATATGTGTATAACTACACATGGGGTATACATATATACATATATATACATATATACATATATATATATACACACATATATATACATATACAGATCTGCATACATACACATTCGGAGTATCATATACTTAATATGTATGTATAAATATATATACATATACATTAAATGTACCTACAGGTAGATGTGTTTTCCACATTCACACATAGGAAAATGCTATAGGATACATACTAAATGTTCAATAATTCCTGATCTGCCTCATGTTTGACAACTACAGAGAAATTAGTTACCATGGACAAAACACGTAAACCATTAAAAGGATACATTTTCCCTCTAAACCTGTGGGCAACATAAACAGAAAAGATTCTCATAGACTCAAAGGAGATTAGACAGACAGATAGACAGACAGACAGACAGACAGACAGACAGACAGATAGATAGATAGATAGATAGATAGATAGATAGGGATAGATATTGACTGTGAATTAGGAAGAAACCCCAGACTTTGAAAACTTTGTCAGCCTGATTCTTTATCTGTTATTGTAACTGGTCTCCTTGTGCTGGGTGTTGTTGAGTTCCTTCTATAAGTCATTCTCCGCATGGCCTCTCTGAATGAGGGGTTTTATGTCTGGTCTCATACTCCTTTTTCTCACTGTGTCTCTTACACAGTAATACAGGCCTGTGTCCTCAGCTTTAAGGGAATTCATTTGCAGGTACAGCATGCTGTTGCTGTTGTCTCTGGAGATGGTGAATCGGCCTTTCACAGAGTCTGCATAGTATGTGTTACTTCCATCATAATAAATAACTGCCACCCATTCCAGCCCCTTCCCTGGAGGCTGGCGGACCCAGTGCATGCCATAGCTGCTAAAAGTGAATCCAGAAGCTTTGCAGGAAAGGCTAAGAGATCCTCCAGGCTGTGTCACATCACCCCCAGACTCTACCAGCTGAACATCACAATGGATACCTGCAAACAAAGAGTCATTTAAGACAATAGTCACACACATACACCACTTCAAAGAGTGTATCCTTAGTCAAAAATCAAACAAAAGACAAAACTACCTTGTAAAAGAGTCAGAATGAAAATTCCAATCAGTCCAAATCCCATTGTTCAGGCTTTACAGCGTCAGTCCTTGGGAGAGAAAGGGCACACAAAGGAAAAGCTCCTCTCCCAGAGCTGCAGACACAGGTTTTTGCTGCTTTTCATCCCTAGAGGGAGGAGCCCAATTTGCATGTCTTTCTCTGTTTAGTGTGAGGAAGAGCAACTGCCTGTCGGTGAAATGAGTCCCCTCTCTGAGCTGCAGAGAAGTTTCCATCAGAATTGGTTCTAAAACCCTGAAGAAGGTTAGTGACACTGAGAATCCAATTTACTCTCAATTCCAAGGGAATGCTCATTAGGCTTTTCTATGTGTCTGATATTTTTCCAGCTTATCTCAGTGCCATTTCTAATTAGGAAGGCACTCCAAACCTTTGTCATTCTTGATCTTTAGCTGAGATTAAATCTACCTTAGGAATCTTTGGGGATTTTTTTGGTAAAGGGAAGGAGGAGGATTTCTGAGTTTACTCTTTAGCACCTCTGCTTACTTACAGGATTATTTTTTGCTCATTCCTTTTGGAACTGGATTTCCTATAGATTATATACCCCCAATCCCATTCATTGTCCCTCATATCCAGTGTTCGCTCAATTGGCATGAGAGAGGTGATTGTTAAGTTTTCAGTGTGAGCTCTAATATTTCAGAAATCAGCAGACACTGAAAATCAGGGCTTAACTTTTAAAAATTGTTTATACTTAACAAAGGGAGAGAGAAAATGTTAATAATGTAGATTAAACTTAAAAGTGTAGTATGTATACATTTTTCCCTGTAGAGTTTTAAACAGCTCACCAGCACACCCAAGCTAATATCCCTGTTTGAGCTGGAAGAATTGAGGCACAAAATGGACAAGGCATAATAAAATCTGCTGAATCTCCTGGGCCCTCTAAAATGCCCCATGTTTTGTTTCTCAGGACTCTTTGTGTATGGTGAGACAGTGACACAACATTCTCTGAGAAATGGGTATATCTTCTGAAGTACTGGGAACAGGTATAGGCTGAGCCTTGGGCTGTAGGGACCTTCTTCCCAGAACAACCAAGTCTGCTGCCACCTACTGTACACAGTGACAATGGCTGAGACATTTTTCTGTCTTATGTCTACTTCACATTAACTCTTCACCCATGGGGAAAAGGTAGTTCTCATCAGGGACCGTTAGAATGCTGCAAAAATATTAATTATTTTCCAATCAGCCTTTGGGATTGTGGAATTTTGTATATGGTAAAGCCTAAACCGAGTCAGTTTGTCTTTTTGTTTTTTCTTTCCCAGGTAAAGTCTTACATTTGCATCATCCTGTCATTGCTACATAATTTATAGGTTAAAAAGAACAATTCAAAGCAGATTATGGTATACAGTTAAATTTACCAGATATATTTTGTCCTCCCAAGCCTAAAAAGCTTCACTGACCCCACATTATCTTCAAGTTATCTATCTTTCTATACTGTTTCCCTTTCAATAACTTCTAGGAAAAGTATATACCTGATACCTTCCTTCAAGGTATTTTTCAACCCTTTATAATCTGTTTTCTGACCCACTCAGGTCATCCACCTCAGGTCTCACTCTTCTGTTTTTCTGTCCATATGATTGCTAAAGTTTTCTTTCAAGAGATGACCAATGCATTTTTTCTTGTTCCATTTCGCCCTCTTGTTCTAAGAGATCTGAGTAATTTTCTTTTAAAGTTTCTTAAAATATGAGATCTAGGTTCTTGTTTTAGTCAAAGCATTCAGGTAGTCTGATAATTCTTAAACTTTGTCTCCTCAATTTGTTTTCCAGGTCAAATTTTTTAAAAAATTCTTTAATTTTCAAAATTTTGACTTTTAACATATATTATTGTCTCTTGGAGCCACTGGCTTCCATGTTGATTCCCTTTCTAATTCTTTATCCATATGTTTCATCTCTTTTCCATGTTTTCCTCTAGCACTCTTCTGTCATTGATTAAAACAATTTTTTAAAAACTCATACTTTATTCTAAGAAGTCTAGTTGAATTTTTGCCCCAAGCTATGTTTCTCTTTGAATCCTTGAGGCTTTGCCTCAAATGATGAATTGGAATCATTTTCATTTTCTGGATTTGTGTCTTGAACACTCTGCCCATAATGACTTTTTGTTGTGAGATTCTTTTTTATTTGCTCTTTCTTCAAGCTTACATTATGATTTTGCACTTGATGATATGATTTGGCTGGTCTTTTTGCTATTTTTGGGAAACTAAGTGTTGTCATATTCCAGAGACTTTGGGAACTGCTAAGATTGCAAGTTTTCAGTGCTGTCCAAATAATCTGATGCAGGATAAAGTGTGATTGCTGCCCTACATTCTTCTCTGAGCTCTCTGTAAAATGTTGACCTGATTTGGGTTCTGAACAACAAAAGACTTCTGTAGATTCAGCAACATTCAGTCAGGAAGGAAACCATCCCCCCTTTTCCTATGGAATTCCTGTCCTAGTTATTTCCCCACAAGCTTCATAGTGAGACAGATGCTGATCACTTCTGAACCTGCACCTTCTTGGTACACAGCCCAGGACCTGCAGGGGAAAGAAAGATGAGGAATCATAAATGTGGAGTAGTTAGGAAAGGCCAGTTCCATTGTTCAGTTTGGTCAGGATTAGTGACCTAGAACCAGTCAGTGGGTGACAAATTTGCCAGTTGTCTCTTTTAAGTTGCCCTGATATGAATCTAGGACCTTAGGCTGCCCTGTTGCATAACCTATCTCTGTGGATTAGAGGGCTCTACAAATGGTTCTCAGGGCCAAAGGCAGTCCTAAGGTCCACAGATTTTTTCTGTCTTTTTGTCTGTGGTGAAGTGAAATGAACAAAAGACTCACTGTGATTTAGTTATGTTGTTTTGTTCTCCTTCTCCTCCTACTCACTTCATGTTAAAATAATGAGCTTTTCTAAAGAATAGATGTTTTGGGGGGCAGCCAGGTGGCACAGTGGATAGAGCACTGGCCCTGGAGTCAGGAGGACCTGAGTTCAAATGCAGCCTCAGACACACAATGCTCACAAGCTGTGTGACTCTGGGCAAGTCATTTAAGCCCAATTGCCTCACTTAAAAAAAAAAAGATGTCTTTTAAATTTAAAATGTGTGGGATATAGCTAAATCAGTGACCACAGGAAATTTTATACCTGTAAATACTTACATCAATAAAGTAGAGAAAGAGCAGGCTAATGAAATGGGTATGCAATTAAACAACAACAACAACAAAACTAGAAAAAGAATGAACTAAAAATTCCCAATTAAATATTAACTTGGAAATCCTAAAAATTAAAGGTGAGATTAATAAAGCTGAGGGTAAAAAAAATAATTGAATTAATAAATGAAACAGAGAGTTAATTTTATGAAAAGAAACAATTAAATAGATAAATCATTGGTTAATTTGATTTAAGAGAGAGAAAAAAATCATTAGTACTAAAAATGGAAAGTATGAATATACCACTAACAAAGATGAAATTAATTATAAGGAGTTATTCTGCCCAATCATATGCCAACGAGTTTAACGATTTAAAGGAAATGGAAGAATATTTACAACAGTATAGATTGCCCAGATTAGCAAAAGAAGTATGATATCTAAATAGATCTATATTAGAAAAACAGAAAAAAACAGGCCATAAAGGAGCTTCCTAAGAAAAAAGCACCTGGACCAGAAAAATTTGCAAGTGAGTTCTATCAAATATTTTAAGATCACCTAATTCCTTTTTTAGTAGTGTTTTACTTTTTTTTCCCATTACATATAAAGTAAGTTTTCAACATTCATTTTTATAAGATTTTGAGTACCAAATTTTTTGTCCCTCCCTCTCCTCTTACCTCCCTAAGATGGCAAGCAATTTGATATAGGTTATACCTGAATAATCATATTAAACATATTTCCACATTATTCATATTATGAAAGAAGAATGAGAACAAAAGGGAAAAACCTAGAGAAAGAAAAAATCAAAAAAGTATGAAAATATTCTACTTCTTTCACATTCAGATTTTATAGTTTTTTCTCCGGATGTGGATAGTATTTTCCATGATGAGTCTTCTGGATTTGTCTTAGATGATTGTATGACTGAGAAGAGTCAGGTCTACCAAAGTTGATCATTGTACAAGGTTGCTGTTACTGTGCACAATATTCTTCTGGTTCTGCTCTCTTCACTCAGCATCAGTTCATTTAAGTCTTCCCAGTTTTTTCTGAAATTGGCCTAGTCTTCATTTCTTACAGCATAATAGAATTGCATTAAATTCATATACCACAACTTACTCCCCATTGATAAGCATACCCTCAATTTCCAATTCTTTGCCACCACAAAAAGAGCTGCTATAAATATTTTTGTATGTGTGGGTCCTTTTTTTCTTTTTTATGATCCATTTGGGACACAGACCTACTAGTGGTATTGCTGAATCAAATGGTACGCACAATTTTACAGCTATTTGGGCTTAGTCCCAAACTGCTCTCCAAAATGGTTGGATCAGTTCGCTACTCCACTAACAATGCTTTAGTGTTTCAATTTTCCCCCATCTTCTCCAACATTTATCATTTTTTCACATGACCACAGATAGCTTTGATTTTTTCATCTGAAAACTGCCTATTCATATCCTTTGACCATTTATCAATTGGGGACTGAATTCTTATACATTTATCAATTTGACTCATTTCTCTAAATATTTTAGAACTGAAGTCTTTGTCAGAAACACTGGCAAAAAATTAGCTTCCCATCTAGAAAACAGAAACTTTCCTTCTAATCTTGGCTGTATTGGCTTTGTTTCTTTCAAACCTTTTTGATTTAATGTAATCAAAATTATCCATTATGTATTACATATATTCTCTATGTCTAGTTTGGTCATTAATTCCATAGTTTTCCATAGTTTTGACAAGTAAAATCCTTCTTGCTCTCCTAATTTGCTTGTGGTATCACTCTTTATGTATAAATCATATATCCGTTTTGACTTTCTCTTTGTATATGGCGTAAGATGTTGGTGTATGCCTAGTTTTAACTTATTATTTTCCAGTTTTCCCAGCAATTTTTGCCAAATAATGAGGTCTTATCCTAGAAGTTGAAGTCTTTGGGTTTATCAAACAATAGATTGTTATAGTCATTGACTACTGTGTCTTGTGTAACTAACCTAGTCCACTGATTCACCACTCTGTTGCTTAGCCAGTACCAAATGGTTTGATGATTGCCTCTTTATAATATAGTTTTAAATCTGGTATGGCTAGGCTACCTTCCTTTGCATTTCTTTTATTAATTGCCTTGACATTCTTGACCTTTTATTATTCCAGATGA